CATTTTGTGTCGTGTATTTTTATCGTGTCGTATCAACAATTGACAACTGTAGTACCACTTAATTTTCCCAAACACACCCTCATGATTCAAATGGTGTTTGGATAAATTAGTTTATAACTTGTTAGCTTATTACGGTAAGGATTGTGATGGAATATACAATAAACAAGTAGAAAGATACTTATTAAAATTAGCTTATTAGTTTATTTCTACGATAATAAACTGATTTTACAAATTTTTATCAAAAGACTTTAACTTAGCTTATTAGGAATAAACACTCTTTTTTTTCACTCTCCATTGACCCCATATACTTTCCAATTTTCCCAAACACACCTTTATATTTCAATATAATATAACTTTTTTTTTTTTTTTTTTTTTTTTTTTTTTTTTTAAACCTTCAATCTCAAACACTCGAATGAAAATATATTCTGAAATTATTTTTTAACGAACAACCAAGCAATTGACCTTCGCCTTGGATCCTCGGCGCAAATCTCATCGTCGTCACCATCACCCTACTTGCAAGCAATTTGCACAGACCTGAAAAATTATCTCCGACCACTTAAAAACCCCGATAAACCCAGCAGAGTTAGGGTTTAGTGGCAACACTTTTTTTTTTGTTTGTAAATGCAATAGAACAGTCTAGGGTTTCAATGTCCAAGAGAAAGTTTGGGTTCGAAGGCTTCGGTATAAACAAACAATCGACGTATAGTTTCGAGCGACCTGAGGCCCCCCAGCGGCTCTACGTTCCTCCCTCGTCTCGTGGTGGTGGCCATGATCACTACGAAGACACCGACCTCGACAATATTGAGTATGAAGATCCCAGCCACAACGCGGCCAATAACGACGAAGGAGGAGGCGGAGCAGATGATGGCGAAATCGACCCGCTTGACGCCTTTATGGAAGGGATTCATGAGGAGATGAGGGCAGCGCCGCCTCCGAAGGCGAAGGAGAAGGCGGATAAATATAGGGACGACGAGGAGGATGATCCGATGGAGAGTTTTTTGAGAGCGAAGAAGGACGTGGGTTTGACCTTGGCATCTGAAGCTCTTCACGCTGGTTATAATTCAGATGAGGAGGTCTATGCTGCTGCCAAGGCGGTTGATGCTGGAATGTTAGAATATGATTCAGATGATAATCCTATAGTTCTCGATAAGAAGAAGATTGAGCCTATTGCTGCTCTGGATCACAGTTCCATTGATTACGAACCGTTTAACAAAGATTTCTACGAAGAAAAACCATCCATATCAGGTATATATATATATATATATATATATATATATATATATATATATATATATATATATATATATATATATATATATATATATAATCAGTTTATTTTTCCTGGATTATGTTTTACTGTCACTTCAATGCTTCTGTTATCCTAGCGTTTCTCTAATATGCTATGCACTGGGTTGGGGAAGGACAAGAACACCTAATCTTCAATGCTTGAATATGCTGTATTCATTTTTTGTTTATTGTATAAGCACATGCCCTTAGAAACATGGAATGCATCTAACCAAATGAAGAGTATGATGTCTTGGGAAGCACTTCCAGGATGATTATCCTTAACAGGATGATAGGTTAGACTTTAGAGAGAACTTTCAGCCAACTTGATTTTTATTCAGTAATTCAGTATTCGTAAATAGAGCAGCAGTGAATAGAATTAGTTGACAGAAAACGAGAACCCTGATCTTGGCCAGGGGAACTAGAAATCTATCCTGACCTAACAGTACAGAAGCAAAGTAGCTGGGCTGTAGACTGTATTAATTACCTACATAGGCTACAATCCAGCAGGAATTGAATGTATCATTTGTCTTACATAAAGGAATTGTTGATTGCCTTAACCTCATTGTCTTTATGGTTAGTTAAATGATCAGGTTTCTGTTCCTCATGATTGAGCTTTTTATTTTATTTATGGTTGTGCTTTTCTTCCATGCCAGGTATGAGCGAACAGGATGTTGCTGAGTATCAGAAAAGTTTAGCAATCCGTGTTTCAGGTTTTGATGTTCCAAGACCAATAAAGACATTTGCAGAAGCTGGATTTTCTACAGAGCTAATGAAAGCTATAGCAAAACAATCATATGAAAAACCTACTCCAATACAGTGTCAGTCTTTGCCAATTGTGCTATCTGGGAGAGATATCATTGGCATTGCAAAAACTGGTTCAGGGAAGACTGCTGCCTTCATCCTTCCGATGATTGTTCACATTATGGATCAACCTGAACTGGCTAAAGAAGAGGGCCCCATCGGAGTAGTTTGTGCACCTACAAGAGAACTGGCACATCAGATATATCTGGAGGCCAAGAAATTTGCAAAAGCCAATGGTATTCGTGTGTGTGCAGTTTATGGTGGAATGTCAAAACTTGAGCAGTTTAAAGAACTGAAGTCAGGGTGCGAGATAGTTGTTGCAACACCTGGGAGATTGATAGACATGCTAAAGATGAAAGCAGTGACAATGTCAAGAGCTACTTACTTGGTCCTTGATGAAGCTGATAGGATGTTTGACCTTGGATTTGAACCCCAGATAAGGTCCATTGTAGGTCAGATCAGACCAGATCGCCAAACATTGCTGTTTTCAGCAACAATGCCCCGCAGAATTGAAAAACTTGCCAGGGAGATACTGAGTGACCCAGTGAGAGTTACAGTTGGAGAGATTGGAATGGCAAATGAGGATATCACACAGGAAGTTCAAGTACTTCCTGCAGATACTGATAAACTGCAGTGGCTGCTTGAAAAGCTACCGGGACTGATTGATAATGGTGACGTATTGGTTTTTGCTTCAAAAAAGGCAACAGTGGATGAGATAGAAAGCCAGCTATCCGGGAAGGGGTTTAAAGTTGCTGCTCTTCATGGGGATAAAGACCAGGCATCTCGTATGGAGATATTGAACAAGTTTAAATCTGGAATATATCATGTTCTTGTTGCAACTGATGTTGCTGCTCGTGGTCTTGACATCAAGTCAATTAAGTCTGTGGTTAATTTTGATATAGCTAGAGACATGGACATGCATGTGCATCGAATTGGAAGAACAGGACGTGCTGGTGATAAAGATGGGACTGCTTACACTCTCATCACACATAAGGAGGCTCGTTTTGCTAGTGACTTGGTTAACAGTTTGATTGCAGCTGGTCAAAACGTGTCCATGGAACTTATGGACCTTGCTATGAAGGTAATACCTTTTTTTTTTTTTTCCTCTCTATATAGTTGATGTTGAGTTCTTGGTTTTCTTTTATTTTAGGAAGATACAAATGTTTTTGCCTACTTTAGGATATGCATTTGGAACTTTAGGATGTACTTTTAGTCAACTCGGTGTATGTTCCTATGGTTTAGTTGTACCATTTCTCATTATTTAGAAGCTATTAGTATAGGAATGCAAGGAGGTTTCTTGACAATAAAAGGGCAACTATGTATATAGTATGACCTAGCAGTCTGCTTTCCAAAAACTTTAGGAGGAAACACAATAATTGAAAGAAGAAATTATAACATATTAGTGTTGACTGCTAATCATAATCAAGTAGAAGATCTTTTGTGTATTTCACATACATAATTGTCTCTTGATTGCTTGCACATGTAAATAATAATGTATTTAGATTTTAGAGAGGGAATTCTGTTCTCTTATATAAAGAAATGCATCTGTCTTTAGAGCTCCCATACAAGCTAGCTGCAATTGGACAGACTTATAGACATACATATTGTTTGTACTTTGTGTCCACATTCACATGCTTTTAATTGGTATCCATCCTCATCTTGTATCATGTGTGTCTCATTTCACTTAAATATAATAATATGGTGGCAGAAACATTAGCTGTCCTGTTCATCTTATGAAAAATCCGTACAACTCATAGCACCTTTTGATCTGTTAATTGTTAGGATGGGAGGTTTAGATCGAAGCGAGATGCTAGAAAAGGAGGTATGTTTTTTCCCCCTTAATCTTTCGTTACATTGGGTGTGATTTACTTGCATAAAAGAATTTGTGTATGTGTGTGTGTGTGTTATGGAAGATGGCATCTAATAATAATAATAAGGAATAAGGTTATTCATTGTTGAAGTGATGGGGTGAAGTTATTATGATGGTGATGAGTTTAATGAATATGTGCTGCAGGGGGAGGGGGCAAAAGGGCAAAAGGAAGGGGTGGGGGTGGTGGGAATAGAGGTGTGCGGGGTGTGGATTTTGGTTTGGGGATAGGATACAGCTCAGAACCCAAAGCAGCTCCTCCTAGCGGCTCAGCTGTTAATTCCCTTAGGACGGGAGTGATGGCTCAGTTCAAAAGCAGCTTTGTTGCTGCATCCAATAATTCTAGAAATCAGGGGAGCAAGAAAATGGTATTGCCTGGCTTTGTTTCTGGTGGTTCCATTGGTGGACCTCCCCCCATCCCCATGCCAACTTATCACAACAGAGAACAGCAGCAGCAGCAGCAGCAGGGGACTTCTGAGAGGTTAGTGATTCAACCTACTCTTCACCAATCCAAATGTGTTTATAATACTTGAGACTTACTTGTACTTTTATGCAGCAGCAGCAGATCATCCAGAGAAAGAAGAAGGCCTTCTGGTTGGGACCGCTAGCTAGCTAGCTAGCTCAAGTCAAATTCAAGAACTTGTATGTTTTATTTGTTATGTGACTACTGACTAAAACCTCAACTTTTAGTTTCATTATATGGTATGTCATATATGATATATGTACTCTACTCTACTTGCAACTTTATTTAAATTCATTCGTGGATCTCGATTTCGATATATTATAGATATAAAGATTTTTTCTTTCTTTCTTTCTTGGTTGGTTGGTGGTAGTGGTAGTTGTCAGGGCCTCAGATAGAGAGGGGTCAAGTTATGTTACCTTATTACCTTAAAGTAATCATAATGTAACCTGTGAGTGTTTTGTTTGTAAATTGCATGCATGAATTATTGAGAGATGTAGGAGGAGAATAGAATATGAGTATGAGATTGAGAGCAAGTATGATACTAGGAAGACATCCATCATTCATAGTGATAGGTTGGTTAAAAGTTTAAATAATGTATTTTGCATTGGTTAGAGAGGAGAATTGAGTTAGAAATTGATTTGCATATGACATGACAACTTCCTTCCTTCCTTCCTACAGTACAAATACAAATACAAATACAAATACAATGGTGAAGTGTGAAATGGTGATGAATGGTAATAGTCATAGATTAATAGTTAAGACTTTAGAGATGGGCGGACTGGACTGGACTGGACTGGACTGTGTGCTGGGATATGGGGGAGGGGGTGAAATGCTAAGAAGATAACCCAACACATTATCACAACCATTCTCCTTCTGGAGGGAAGCCCCCAATTCCTATGTTGCCTTTACCTTTACCATATTCATCAGGTTTAACAAATGACAGAGTAATGGGGTAAAGGGAGGAAATATACATTTCATTTTAGTAGTCTGTAACAAACAAACATCAACATTGAATGCTCTCAAAACTAGATAGATAGATGTTAGTTTGATACATGGTATTGGTATCAGTATGGTTTATGCCTTTGGGCACTTGTTTTCAAGTGTTGTGGTTGTTCTGCGGCGGATGGCATTGGGACATACCTCCAGGCAAGGCTCCTTCAAACTGCTATCCTCCTCCGGAGGGGAAACTCCAAATTTAAACTGCACGTCCTCGAATAATAATTGTCTGACATTAATTCATTCATGTGCAATATTATATGGTAAATCTAATGAATCCGTTTTCCACATAATCAGTGAGTGTTGTTGTTTACATTTACCTGACAGCTATAATCATCAAAGTTTGGCTCCATAACTAGCGGCACTCCCATGTGATCCATAAAGAAGGCCTGTCACATTGCACAAATCACTTCTATTCTAAAATCTAAAATAAAAGAAACTCAAAGCACCTTATACCTGAGTAGGAAGTTTACATGTATTCAAACATATCCCCACACATTTGCTTTCCTCTAGATACTTGCATCTTTCAACAAACACCTACACTCATGTCTCATGTCAATGTGTCATGGCTCATGTACATGTAGGCATCATCAACATTCAACACCCACATCACATGACATGTAAAAACCACACGCACGTAAAATCGGAAGTTGAAAAACTAGAAATTGTGGTTACTCACCCCACTCGGCAATGAAGATCCATCGCCAAGATCCACAGTGTTAACCCTGCAACTACCCATCAGCCATTCACAAGATACTGCAGTCACCCTTGCTTCCTTCCAGAAAAACACACTCACCGATCATTACATACATACATACATACCACAGTCAACATTTGATGATCGCAAATTCAGCGCAATATATATATATATATATATAATCTTTTATGTGATTTTACTGGAAAACAAACAAAAACAATTTTTTTAATAATATATTTTCTAATGAAAAAAAGTGACTCACCAACCATTACAGCAGCCACTTTTCCTTGAGCAAGAGGCGCAATGAGGATTTTGTAGAGCTTTAACAACAACGGAGGAAATAACGATCTTAATATGCGAACCTGAGACGACATTGGTTACTGGTTACGGGTTTACTTTGGTAGAATTATATTATATTATATTGATTATAATTATTATAGGGAGGATTTTGTAAACGCCCTTGTTAAACGTCAAAATATCATATTTACCCTTCTTAATCCTTTAAATATCATATTTGCCCAAATATATATATTTTTAATATTTTATAATCATTTTTTCTGTTTTGGAATCATTAAAATTAAAAGAAAAAGTAATTGGACGATATTGCCCTTGCTTTCTCAAGTGCAAGAACAAAATTAACCTTTGTTACGCATCCACTATATCATGTTATTTTAGATAGGGGTAGTTTGGGAAATCAACACATAAAGAGCAGAGCATCTTACTAGTGCAAGGAGGAATCAGGGGCATTTTGGGCATTTTATATTAATAGTTTGTTATGTTAGATAGTATAAGAGGGTAGTGGGCATGAGAGTCAGTGGGAGATTAGCTATCTTGTGAAATCTGGAATAATTTCCAGTGGGAGATTGGCTATCTTGTGAAATCAGCTAACCTATCCTTTGTTCTTGTAATCTTTTGGGTGTTATAGAGTGTTCTCAATCAATATAAGAATCATTTGGTTGTTTTTATGTTATTGAAACTGTTATTACAAACCAGTTCATAACAACCTTATGCCGTTACCTGCTGGGATGAACTCTTAACCTCAATGCTACTTCTTTTTTTTAGCTTTCTCGGCATCTTTCTTGTTCCAATCAGCCATTACTTGTTTGTGTATTAAACATTATTTGTGAAGTAAAGATTCTTTGATTAGGGGAAGGATATCTTATAGATGGTGTTGGGCAATTTTACCAGGGATGAATCCTTCACCTGGTGGGGCAGTGTAGTTTGTGTCTTGGGTTTTGATAAGATTTGCCATCTAGAATCACTACATCAACAACATCGCTCTTGTTGACTGATCCTTCAAATCCCATTCTTATCATCTCCTAAAAATACCACTCAATTCACAATTAACAAGTTATTATCAAAACAGAAAAAACTTCTCTAATGTAATTTGCGTGTATAGATATTTGTGTTGCTCTCTGACTCTGAGGAAATGTGTCAAACATTTAGTGTTAATAAAACACAAGATCACTTCATCTACGTCGCCTGCCAAGATTAATCAGAATCCTATGAAGCAAATAACTTATCAACTTAGCATAAGGTCTGCAGTTGAGAAGGTAATGGCTATATGGTCAATTGCAATTTTCTTTTTAATGATCTCAAAACAGAAAAACTCATTGTAAAATATTTAAAAAAAATATATATATGATATTTTAAACGATTAAGAAGGATATTTAAATTATTTTCCCCTTGTTATATGAATCAGATGCACGCACCGCTGCTTCCTGGGTTTGAGAGTTGGTTCTGGCAAGCATAAGACGATTGGCTACGTCTATTAGTCCATCGTAACCCGCCTTCTCCGAATCCCATCCAACTTCCTGTTAAATTAAATCATAATTCCTAGCTGCTCCTAGACCCAATTTTTAAAATTTTTTTTTTTACCTGCACCATCTTGTTGCGGAATAAATTCAGAAAAACATGATCCAATACGCCGGGACTTCTGGATACAACTAGTGCCTCTGTTGTCTTTTGTATCTGCCCAGCCCAACAACACACTACATCTACTCAGTGTACATTAAACAAATCCATAAAAACCCAAATACAATCAGTCAATCAGAATCACACGTACTCCTGATTCACCAGCAGATACACGGAATAACCCATGATTGGCGCTTCTCCGGAATTGTGGCTTTCGCTTAAGCTTCCGCAGAGAATTCTCACAAATAGAATGGAACTGGAACTGGAACTGGAACTGAAGAAGAGTAGCCATAAAAGAAACTCTGTCTGGATATATGTTGCCAACTTCACTACCTCTAATCTCTATTGTAAATGTTTCTCAACTACCGATTTGTCGGTGCAATAACCAATAAGTAATTTTTATTCTATTTTTTCACACACATTATTCATTATTATCAGTTTATCACAATATTAATAAATAAACTTACTAATTCCAATTTTATTATCACAATATTACTAAATAAACTTACTAATTGTAATAACCAATAAGTAAAAATGTTGTTTTCAAATGAGCGTATATTTAAAATGATAATTTTTATTTTGACGAAAATAAAAATATAAATAGATGTTTCTTTTTAAAATGATGTATGCTAATATCTATCTATAATGATATCTATCTATAATGAGGTGGTGTTTGTGATTACTTTTCAAAAACTCTTTTTTTTTTTTTTTTCTAAACTTTAGTTTTTGAGGAAATAAAAGCCAAAAGTTTTTAAAAACTGCTTGATTTCACTCCCAAAATATTTTCTTTCTAAAATTTTTATTTTTCGAAACCTTGGTATTTTGTTGATTCAATTGTGTCATAGAAAAGAAAACTGCTACAGACGTTTCTATTTATACTCAAATTTTGAAGATGCTTAGTTACTCCATAAATTATAGAGAATATCCCACAATTTAACACTACACTAAAAACATGCAAATATCTCTATTGACCGACGTGTATCATTCAAATTGACACGAATGGATTACGTATGTTTATTTTGGATGAGCCATAACTTAAATACTTATTTAATTCAACTTTGAGTGGTGTACTTGTTTGATCCACACGTAGTCGTATCTTTCATTTTAGTTTGTTTACTTTATTTAATAACATATACATTATTTATAATCATGTTTTATTTATTTATTATTATTTTAATTCAATCACATAATTACTAACTTAAATATTATATCTAGTATATATTTCGTGGTCCAACTGAATCACTATACTCTTTACAATATTTGTACCAATTAAATTAAAATATAAATTTGAATATTATTGATAGGTAATTAGATAAAACTGATTGAAAGATTATTTTATGAAATATATATATATATATATATATATATATATATATATATATATATATATATATATATATATATATATATATAGAGAGAGAGAGAGAGAGAGAGAGAGAGAGAGAGAGAATGAAATCATATTTTCATTAAAAGTTGCTAATTATTACAAATCAAGCCTATTACATTTGATGTCGTCAATTTTGTGAGTGATGATTGTTGACTTAATTTAAGTGTTGTCACAATCAGAGGCCGCATGGTCAGCTACAGCACCTGGAGATTCCCATGTGGAAGTGGAAACAAATCACGATGGATTTCATCACCAAGCTTCTGAGGACGACAAGGGCTTCGACGCTATTTGGGTCATCGTGGATCGATTGACCAAGAGCGCCCACTTTTTAGCGATATGGGAGAGTTTATCGGTCGAGAAGCTGATTGACTTATATATCCGCGAGATCGTTGCCCTCCATGGGGTGCCAGTCTCTATTGTTTCGGACCGTGACGCTCGGTTCACCTCCCGTTTCTGGCAGAAGTTCCACAAGGAACTGGGAACGCGTCTGTATTTCAACACAACCTATCATCCACAGACAGACGACTAGAGTGAGTGGACCATACAGACTCTCAAGGATATGCTGAGATCCTGCGTTATTGACTTCGGTGGGAGCTGGGACTCCTATCTACCCCTCGTAGAGTTCTCTTACAATAATAGCTTTCATTCCAATATTGGTGCCCCACCATATGAGTTGTTGAATGGATGAAGATGCCCCCCTCTCCCCCTGTTGGGGTGAGATCGGTCACAGGGTAATGGGATGGACCGAGGGAATTCTATAGACTACCGAGAGGATTCAATGGATCAGACAGCGGTTGCAGACCGTACAGAGTTGGCAGAAGAGTTAAGCTGACAGGCACCGATCAAAGTTGGAGTTTCAGGTCGGTGACATGGTACTCTTGAAGGTTTGCCCTAGAAGGGTGTGATCCGCTTCAGGAAGAGGGGAAAATTGGGTCCACGATACATCGGACCGTTCATGATCATTGTCAGGGTTGGAAAGGTGGCGTATAGACTAGAGCTACCAGAGGAGCTTTGTCAGATCCACAACACTTTCCATGTGTCACAATTGCAAAAGTGTGTATTAGATAAGGAGACAGTAGTGTTATTGGATGACATACAGGTTGATGAGTGCCTGATTTACGTAGAGAGGCCAATGGTCATTCTGGAGAGGAAAGTGAAGGTTCTACGAAACAAGGAGGTATCTTTGGTAAAGGTACAATGGGAGCGCTGGAGGGGATCTGAGTGGACTTGGGAGTCAGAGGCTGAGATGCGGAAGCATTACCTAGAGTTGTTCACCGCAGCAGACTTCGAGGACGAAGTCTAGTTCAAGTGGGGGAGAATTGTAACACCCCGACTCTCAGGTATAAACTTGACAGCCTTATTTTCATTTTGAAAGGTCTACTCGACGATTTGGATGCCCTAACTAGTCGAGTAGGAACGAACTTGGCCGCGTGTCTTAAGTGACCAACTTGACGAGTTGGAGGATACAACTTGACGAGTTGGAGCTGGAGGATGAAACCCTAATTTTTTGGGTTTACACCCTATTTAAAGGACCTTAAGTCCCTTCCTTCAGTCGTTCACCACCCCATTGACGGCTGAGAGAAACCCTAACCAGTCTAGATCTTGTTCTTGAGTGTTGTGAGGCTAAAAGTGCTTTGTTGGTGCATTCTTTGAAGAGATTTGAGGAGATAGCGAATTGGGACGAAGTGAAGCCTGTGGATCCAGTATCTACTTCATCTTGTCATCATTTTGAAGGTAACAAGTCATTACCTTGACCTCCTTTTAGCTAGATCTCTCCATGCTTGAGATTAGGGCCATTTTAGCATGTTGGTGATTCATTCCGGGTATTGGGCATGATCTGAAGTTGCAACTTCACATCTAGGCTCATCTTGGTCCTTATAGTCATAAAGCTTCAGCCTTTAGCAAGATAATGCCTTTTCCCTCACCTTGAACCTCTTCTTTAGCTTGATTTTGGCCCTTAGCGCCTTGCATGTACGTAAAGTAAGTATGCCCTAGGAGCTTAGATATGCAATATGGAGCTTTGGGGTGGCTTATAGACATCTGAATGGAGAAAGGAATGAAGGGACTCGACGAGTTGCATGGCCAACTCGACGAGTCCGATGAAGATTAGCCTTTGAGGGTTTCTGCATGAACTTGATGAGTCTGTAAGACATCTCGACGAGTCAGTTAGGGGTTTCCCGACAATTAGACATGCATGGACTCGACGAGTTGCCTGGTGTGACATCCTTAATTTCACGGCCATAAAAGACCGATTTTTTTATGCTTTGTTTTAAAATCAGAGTAATCTTTTAAAGAAAACAGTTGTGGAATTTGTTCCCAAAACAAAATATGATAAGAATTTATCAAAGCATTTCTTTAAAGAAATGTATTTTCATTAAATAACAAAATCTCGATATGTTATGTTCCGATACAGACCAAAAGCATAAACAATATGAAATAGACCTTACAACAATTATTTATAACTACTGATCTATAATCCAAAATATCTCGTCAAGTCCACCAACTTATACTCTTGTGCCATTACCTGTAATGCAAAGAAAACTGAGTGGGTCAGGCTTGGGAGCCTAGTGAGCATATAGGGTTTTCAACCCACAATAATATAATTATTATATTTAATCATCAAACAATCAACCCAATTACCCATCCCCATTATCTTCTTCTTTTCTTAAGGTTTTACCCTAAGAATCAACTATCCTTTATTCATTCGTTCCTAAGGATTTACCTAAGGAATTGACATGAAGTCCATTGCTACCAAAGTTTATCTATCAGGTACTAAATCCATAGCTATCAGGCGCTAACTCCATAGTCACCAAGGTTTACTTAACAATAGGCGCTAACTCCATAGTCACCAAGGTTTACTTAACAATAGGCACTAACTCCATAGTCACCAAGGTTTACTTAACAATAGACGCTAACTCCATAGTCACCAAGGTTTATACAATAGGCGCTAACTCCATAGTCACCAAGGTTTACTTAACAGTAGGCGCTAACTCCATAATCACCAAGGTTTGTACAATAAGCGCTAACTCCATAGTCGCCAAGGTTTATACAATAGGCGCTACGTCTCATAGTCACCAAGGTTTACTCATACCATCTCTCATCACACACCAACTATTCCATCTATCCATGTTCTACCCAACATATTTCTAGATATAAATTACATATATAGTTCAAATCATATACAAACCTGTATAAAACATTCATCCAACATCCATCTCAAATAAACAAACAATATATAAACACATAACACGTTTTTCATAGCAAATACTTCATATCTATGTGTTAGAAGAAAGTAACTACACACTCACTTGATTAGATGATGCTCGGATAGCACTACGACTTGCAAAAGTAATATTCTTCGTTAGATCTGGAAGATCTTCACAAAAACCGTCTTCTCGCAGGCAGAGCTTCGGCTTGGGAATTTCACTTCTCAGGATCTTCGAGCTTCGGGACTTGCTTCGGGGATCGATGTAACACCCCGTTCTTTAAGTGTTTAATTATGAGTCCCTGAGATTTAAGAGGAAGGGTAATTCTGGTCCTTTTACGAGAAATGAGTTTCATCCGAGAAGGTTTTGGGTTGGTGTATGTGTTAGAAGCATTGGGCTTCTCGTCACCCTCGTATGAATGTAAAGTTATTTGGGAACGGGTTTAGATTAGAGGAGTTGCGGTGTTTTGAAGTTGATCATTGTTTATAGCTCTTTGTGGTATAAGTGGAAAAAAGGGTCCCATGCATGCATGGCATGCATGTGTTTTGAAGTCTGGCTGGGTACACCCAGCGTAATGGTGTGATGTATGCGGGATGGCCGGATGAGTACGCCCAATGTACTCTCAGAAACTCCAAACCCTAATTTAGGGTCAGCCACTATATAAGGAACATCTTGGTTCACCCCTTAGCCTCCTTATGCTCATCCTTAACCTCAGAAAAACCCTAGAACTCGTATTCCCTCCATTTGTAACACCTAAAGTTTCAAAGGCCAAGAA